TTACAGTCCTTGACCTTTTGCAGGAAGTGTTTCAGGTCTTCTACAGTTTCAGCAAGCAAGGGTGTGTCATCTGCATACCATAGGTTGTTAATGAGTCTCCCTCCAATTTTGATGCCACACTTCTCATAAAGCCCTGCTTCCAGAATGACCTCTTCAGCATACAGATTGAGAAGGTACAGGGAGAGGATGCATCCTTGAGGCACTCCTTTCTTGATTTTGAACCATATAATGTTTCCTTGGTCTGTTTGGAGGACAACTTCTTGTTCCAAGTATAGGTTTCATATAAACACAATTAAGTGTTCTGAGATTCCCATTTTCCTCAAGGTTAGCCACAATTTACTGTGATCCACACAGTCAAATGCCTTTGCTTTGTCGATGAAACACAGATAGACATTCATCTGGTACTCTCAGCTTTCTGCCAAGATCCATCTGACATTGGCAATATTGTCCCTAGTGTCATGACCTCTTCTTTTAATGCTTCTTGAGTCATTCAGTATTCTGCCCATAGCATTCTTAAGCATTGCACCTGGTGGCTTCATAATATTTATAGTGAGAGAAAGAGATGGGGGAAAAAAGTCAAGAGAGAAACTATAGGAATGAAGGGAAGGGGGGAGAGAGAGACAGAGACAGAGAGAGAAAGAAATATATATGCATCTCTATTTTCCTATTCAGAAAAATAGTTTAAGAACTATTCAATAATGGGTTCTTGAGTTAAATTCTAGCCTTACTTCTTGCTAATTCTTGTAGGATAGGGAAAAGGTCAGATCTATTCTTCATAGGGTTGTTATGAGTCATAGTCAACCCAACAGCATCTAACAATAACAACTCTCTAACTTTGAACTTCTCTCCACTTCCATTTCTCTAATTGTCAATGAAACCTATCAGATACTAATTGTGTGTGATTGTTAAAAGAAATTCCTGCAGCCATCTTGACAGCACTAAATAAATGCTGTGTTATCAACAACAGAATGCTGGCTCTGCCTCGTGATACTGACCAAGTGCTCAGTCTTGATTGTGTTTAATGATGAACAGGTTTTTGTTGTTGGTCATAGTCGCTCCACTCCTGAACAAAACAACTTGCAAAAGTTGTACTTCACAGTTATTAACTTAAAACTGTTGTTGTTTTAATATATACGGACTAATTTATTTCTTCAATTACTTATTATAAATGGGGGAAAATATGCTGACAAAAACATTTTTTACTAATCTTGTGAATTCATTAAAAAATATTTTAACAGTCTATCAAATTTCAGAAAATAACTTAAGAAACTTGTATTGAATTACCCAACAAAATGGAACATAATATGTCATATTTTTAAAACCCTTAAAAGCATGAAAAAAACCTCTGCAATGTATTGTTGTTTTTGTTGTTAAGTGCTATTGAGTTGTAGGCTATACTCGTAGCGACCTTATGAACAAAAGACCTGAACACTAGTATGACTTTCATCATTTCTCCAAGTTCTTAGAGTTTCCAGAGGCAAGTTATTTCGGAAGTGGATGCCACTCCTGCTTCCAGACTTGTTTTAATCAGGGAGAGCAACCAAACACAGTCGACCATTATCACATTATCACAAATCTGTGTCAACGTGTTCAACATCACAGCAACCACAAGTTAACGCTGTGTAACAAGTGGACAGACCAGGGCTATACGACCTATAAGACACTGGCCTCTTGGTCAGTTGTGAGAGTGGGCTGGGAACCTCTCCTTGGAGCCAAGGAGAGACTGGGGCAGAAGCTGCTTTTTTAAAAACAAGTCATTTTGGCCATCAGGCCTACTGTCCTAGGGCCTCATTTAATTGTATTTTAAATGAACATTTCTTGTGTGGTACAGCACTTTTCTGTCATTTCACTATACTTAGGTAACTTATGATTTCTTTTATACTAAACGGCAGTCCAGTGGTACATCAATTGCCATAATGGTTACACTTGGTTGACAATGTCTGGTAGAGCTCACAGATTAAGACGGGCTTAGAAGTAGGAGTGGCATCCACTTCCTAAATATGCCTGTGGAAGTTCTGTGAACTTGGAGGACAATTTTTATAGAACAGGGTTGTTGTTGTTGTTGTTGTTACGTGTCGTCGAGCCGTTTGTGACTCATAGTGACCCTGTGTACCACCACCCGAAACTCTGTCCTGTACCAATCGCACTGTCTCCAATACTCCAATCCCGATTACCCCAGTCACTGAATCAATCCACCTCATAGAGGGCATTCCCCTCCTGTGCTGTCCCTCTCCAAGGACATGTCCCTCCTTACAACCTGTCCAAAGTATGTTAGACAAAGCCTCAGAACTCTTGCCTCCAAGGAGCTGACTGGTTTAATGCTCTCCAGCATGAATCCGTTTGTTTTCCTAGCAGTCCATGGTACCCTCAATACTTTTCTCCAGCACCACAGCTCAGAGGCATCAATTCTTCTTCTATCCTCCTTAGTCATTGTCCAACTCTCTGATGCATATCAAGTGATTGCAAAGACCATGGCCTATATCAGATGCACCTTAGTCTCCAGAGAGACTACATTGCTCTTCAGTACTTTGGAGAGGTCCCTAACAGCAGATTTTCCCATTGCAAAACGTCTTTTAATTTCCTGGCTACTGGTGCCAAGACGGTTGACTGTGGAGCCAAGCAAACTAAAGCTGTGAACAATCTCAATCTCTTCACCATCCATCCTGATGCTGCCAATTGGTCCAGTGGTGAGAATCTTTGTCTTCTTGACATTGAGCCTCAATCCATATTGGAGGCTGTAGTCCTTGACCCTCTGCAGCAAGCTCTTCAGGTCCTCCTCAGTTTCAGCAATCAGGGTTGTGTCATCTGCATAACGCAGATTGTTGATAGATCTTCCACCAATCCTGATGCCGCATTTCTCCTCATAGAGCCCAGCCTCCCAAATAATCTGTTCTGCATACAGGTTGAAAAGGTATAGAGACAGGACACATCCCTGCCATACTCCCTTCCAAATTTTGAACCATGCAGTGTTTCCTTGCCCTGTTCTGACAACTGCCTCTTGGTCCAAGTATAGGTTTCACATTAGCATGATCAAGTGTTCTGGGATTCCCATTCTTCTCAAAGTCAGTGTTTTATTTATATGGTAATCACTTGATGACACTTAAGGACAACAACAGCAGTGTCTTAGCTAAGAGTAATATGAAGTACTACTTTCCTAATGACAAAGAAGTATGTGTCAAGTTAATTCTAGAAACTTTAAAGCCTTTAAGGAAAAGCATAGTAGAATTGCAAAGTGAAAAATATACCTTGGTTATGTGGGTGGGAATGAAACTAAAATTAAGAACTTTTAAGAATACATTTGGAAATGCCAATATATTATAAAATGTAGAATGATGTTGATTTCATATTCTTGTGGTTTGCCAATTTTTTCTTTCCAAAGTTTGACTTTACAATATTTTTGTAGTTCAGAATTATACTATCAAGTTGTTTTCATTGAAATATTATTGTACTGCAACTGAAACATTTTCTTTTCACTAGCTGCTTCTGTTTACCACCATTTTGATTTATGATAAATAGGAAATTTAACATATAGGTACCAATAATGTGAGAAAGTACATTGGAATCAAGATTGAATACAAGTATGGGAATGGAATAAACAATAACTTGTAGGTTTGTTTTAAATTTTTTGGAAAAAAACCCCAACACCTTGTTGTTATGTGTTTTTGAGATAGAACCAACTCATATCTGAGCCTCAAGCTGGTTTTCAAAGGCTGTAAATCTCATGAGAGGAAATTGCCCATCTTTCTCCTGAGGAGACATTGGTGGATGTGGATTCAAACCAAGTGCTTTTCGGTTGGCAGCAAAACTGCTTACCCTCTAGACCACCAGAACTCCTTAACGTAAAACTGAGCTATTCAAAACTCCAATATAGAAGAAATACTGCTAAGATTTACAACAATAACAAAAACTTCCTGCTCTTCTTAGAGTTTATAACTGGTATTGTTTTCTTTTTAAAAAAATGCTATAGACCTTCTATAAATTATTTATTTGTTGAGGCTATAGAATGAAAGATTAATTTTTACTAGCTTGTGTCAAAGAATCTGAGATCCTTTTGTATATTTATATACACCCACTTGCACACAATTGTTCTTAGAAAAACAAGATACCTAGACACAATTAGAGAGGCAGAGAATCAAGGCACTATTATTTAAAACATTAAATAAATGTTTGATAATGAAATTAATTTTGCTGCATAAGATAGGCATTGGAAACTAATTTTGTTTTCTAAGTAAATAAATTGAGAACTGGATAATTCCAACAGAAAAACAATAGAAACCAAAAGTGGCTTCTAGAAAGTTCTTTGGTCTTTGTAGAGGACTGACAAGTAGTCTCACATGACATGATTCCTTCATCTGATTCTTTATGGAGAGCCTTATCCTCTACCCCTTCACACACACACACACACACACGCAAAAAATATTCACTGCCATCACATTGCAACTCCTAGCTCCCCTCCAACAACATTCCATTGCTACAAATCTTTCCAGGAGGAAACTGGCCATCTCTATTCAGTGGAGTAATGAGGGGCTTTGAGCTTCCGCCTAGTCAGTTTACAGCCTCATACATTACTACCAGGGTTTCTCTTGCAGAGCTCCAGAGAATAGGGGGAAAGTCAACAGTCGTATCTAAGCCTGAAGTGAGGCCTTGATCAAGTAGGTGTCTCAGGAGTCTGCAGTACTGAACCAGGAGACTCATCCAGATACCCCAGGGGTCACACTCCTACACCTCAGATCATTACCAGTCAGCATTCCTTCAGAACTCAAAATAAACGAGAACCAACTTCTAACTTAACTGTTTAGCAAATTGATAAGTAAGCTAATCCATCTCTGAAAGCGGCTGTCTCTGCACAATAAGTACCTAAGTAATTTGTAAATTTAGGGGACAAAAATGGATCATTTCACAACCCATCACACTCCCTATTACAAAAGAGGTGAGTTAACACATATGCTCTTTGAAGCCTTCATTGACTTCCCTTTTTTTCTCTGATTTTCCCTCTCCAGAAAACTCGTTATGATATTTATGTTGGCATTCTAAAAGAAGGAGGTAAAGAGCTCCTGATCAACAGTGAAAATGAGAGCGCTGGACTGAAGAAGTCCCATTCAAGTCCCTCTCTGAATCCGGATTCATCTCCAGTCACCGCCAAGGTCAAGCGTAATGTCTCAGAGAGGAAGGATCATCGACCAGAAGCACCAAGCATTAAGCAGAAAGTTACTTAGAACCTACCTGCAGCCAGGAAGTGCTGGTCATGGAGCAAAATGGGGTTTTTCAAGATCTTTCTGGTAATCTGTGGATATATTTAAAAAAAATTCTGTGACTAAATGGTGCATTAGTAAAATTTTCTATTGTATAATTTTTGTTGTTTTCTGTACATATTGTCTCTTTGCTCTTGATTTCTTTGCTTTGATGAATTTTGCTACTTGGTCACTAATGCACCTTTTTGTGAGGGGGGAGGGTATCATGATTCAGAAAAAATTATGTAACCCTTTTCCTTTGCTTTTTTTGTTTTGTTTTGTTTTGTTTTGCACTCTGCTCAATTTTTTTTTATGTATTTTTAAATCAGCTGTCAAATTTTCCCCTCCCCCAAGGTTACACAATTTTAATCCATTGTGGAAAGCTTAACTGGACAAACTTTGTAGCATAGTAAATTCTTACCAGAGTTAATATAAGCCTTTGTATGTGAAACCATGCCCAGTCACAGAAGTGGAATTTACTGAAGTCTAACTGAGAATTACGATGATGGGAAGCGAGATTTCCCAATGTGACACGGGCTGTGCGTGCATCTTAGCACTTACTGTGGCCCTGCTGGAAGCAGGGAGAAGCGAGCGTGAAGGTCGCAGAGCTGGAGAACTTGGGGAAGCACAGTAGCTTGCGTGAAGTATGGGTTGTTCCATCTTGGTCAGACAAGGGAAAGAGAGTGATGTCATTTTGCCAGTGAAATTGGAGGGAAGATTGGCACCAGGTTACTTTTGTTTTCTCAAGGAGTAGTGGCAATAATCAGCTCTTGGGGAGCTGCAGCAGTAGGCATGTATGTTGTTCTACAGAAAATTGTTACCTCATTCCCACAGTGTCAAAAACCAGAGTCATCTCTGTCATTGATACCCCTCCTTCCAGGAACAGATTCACAGTTAGATTCTCATTCTCTCTCTTTCCCTTTTCTTCTTTCCCTCCCCAACCCCCCCTTTCTCTTCCCTCTTTCTCTCTTTGCACTAAATAGGAATCCCTCAGAATGTGTGTGTGTGTATATAGAAGTGGGATGGTTATCTCCTGGTTATTAGAATTTTGCAAGCTTCCTTCCTAATAAAAAATTACTGAAAATTAAACATTTATAAACTGAGGCAAAATAAGATAGGGGAAGGAGATTTTCTGTGGTGGTTCGGGAAACTAACACATTGTTTAAGATGAATCCAAAAGTAATAGATCTTGTTGCATGCTATTGATTTGACTTTGTACTCATAGTGACCCTCTGGGACAGAATAGAATTACCCCATAGGATTTCCAGGCTGCAGTCTTTACACATGCAGACTGCCACACCTTTCCCCCATGGTGTAGCTTGTGGGTTTTCACACTGGCTTTTTGGTTAGTAGCTGAACACTTAATGATTGCATCGCAAGGTGATGAGTAAACTGAAATGAATCGTGGTTGGAAAGCCAGGGACCTTCTGGTTGCATAATAGTTCCTTAGTTTATTGTCTCTCAGCCTCATGGAAACCCATTTCAGTCTGCTATTACTCAACTTTCTACTAACAAGAAATGCTGCATCTCTTTTTGATTGCTTATTTCTGTCTATTCTAGTAGTTCTTTCAAACTTAACAGTCATGAGTTTGTTGATAGTCCCTGTGAAATTTCAGGGTGCTGCTCAGAGCTTCGTAGAGAAAGGGAGTGACCTTTGAATCCACTATGACTTAGCACTTACTGATATCCAGGCTTAAAATTCTGTAATCCTAAAGCTATGATCTTCAAAACGTCACAACTTCAGAATTAATGGAATGAATTTCAATATACTTTTCTTTCCTATAGAAGTTTTCTTTCATTCTACTCTGTTTCTTAATTGAAGGTACTTTCACCAAAGAATCAGCTACTCGTCATGAATAGTGGGGTTCCCAGTGAATTGGAAACAAATCCACTTTAAAGCCACAATAGTTACTAATAGGATAGAGTACACTGCTATGAAGTAGCAGCAACTATGTATAGATTTATTTATTAACATTTACTTCTTTCCCCAATATAAAGGCTGTATTTGCTTGCTGTCCAGAGCAGGTAACAGTAACCTGTCTGTCTTGCTAAGATTGTTGCTGCTTGCTTTGTGGTAGGGTTTTTTGCCACGCCTTTGAAAAACTCACTCTAGCCCTCTATTGTTTTGTTTAGATAGAGGCAAGTGACTAGACTACATTTATGTTTCAAAGCCAGGAAACAAACAAGTAGTTGCCAGTATGTCCCATTTACCTGATTCATTTTTATAGCTTCTAACTAAATCTAGAGTTTCAGTAAGGAAGTGATCTTTGGTCCTAGAATTTAAATCTGAATTGTTAGCCTATTTGTTTTTTTTACCTACATATTTATCCTAAGCAGAGGGGAGAGAGGTACCAAAACCATGTCATCTAAGAACGTCAATAACTTAAAGGGTGGGGGTCTGGGTGGGGAGATATATATCCCTGACTAGCTTGAATGTGTTTGTCCATAGTGTATTCATGTCTCTGTATATAGAATGTTTGTGTGTATTTTTCTTATATACATTGAATGGTACATGACTACAGTATTTCTGACATTTAGAGTAATCCTGAAATACTTGGTTAGCATCAGATTCCACTACAGCATTGTTCTTAATATACTATTCAATAATGTTATTTCCATGAAATTTGGATATGCTAATAGGTAATTAGATGAGAAGGGCACTTTGAAATGGCTGTAAACTAGACTGGTGTAGTTTATATTCAAAAACAACTTCAGAGGTTTCTTTTGTGAGTCAGTATCCCATATTGTACTGGCATGATGCTGTCTATCTTTAGGACTTGGGCTAAAAACAGTTCTTCCATGATGTCTCTGGAAGGTTACAGTCTGTTGTTACTGCATATGGCAGCCAAGAGTTTATCCTATGTGGGGAAATGGCCTTCTCTGATTTGACTAGACTCAGATGGCCCATGGCCATCCACCCTTTCTATTGTGATCATTTCTGTAATATCTAATCAGAAAAGAACCAAGGACATTTCCACTCATATCTGCTTCAAGCCTACTGTCCAATCCACGGTACAGGGGAGTTGTCCTCCTTATCCTGAAGGTACCCCACCTCTTGACCCTCTAGCCATGCCATTCCTCACTTCTACCTCAGGGCCCAGGAACCTTGGGATGTCTCACTGTGTGGTAAATCGATTTATCTTGACATAGCTATACTTAACATTAATTTGTATTATAGAAAAGCTTGACATTCATCCCAATACATTGACGATAATTTTCCTCTTGGCCCAGAATTGACCATAGAAGTGGCCCACAGATAAAGCACTTGAGTATTTTTCTCTACCTTTCATACTGGCTTTTACAGAAAAGTCAGGAATTCCTTAACTATCAAATTCTCTTCTAGCCTATAGAATCCTTATTTTATTGCTAAGTCATAAGCATTATTTTAGGTGAGCTTTTCTAAAATGTAACATTTTGTTCATCAAACCAAGCAATATTTCTGTATATTTTCATTCAGCTCAGCCAAACCAACATCTAAGAGGCTCTCTGGTAGAAGTGTACTTCCTACATTATAAGCAGTCTTCTGTTTCTCTTAGCTAGAGAGGCTACGGAAGTAGGTGGACCATTTGTGCAGACCCTCTGCGCCTCTCAGTTCATAATTATAATCAAAAAAATGAGGACTGTTTCCTCATCAGAAGTGGAATGAGGGAATTCTGGAAGAGGAAAATATGGCTGTCTTTGAAGGCCAAGGTAGGATTGTTCTCTTGAGTTTGTATTTTACTTTGTGACCAAACCTTTGTTTCTGTGAAGAAATTTCTGTTAGAACTTCATTGTATAAATTCAGTGGACACAGTTTTCTTCTGCCCCTTGTCTTTGTTCCTTCTACCATATAAAGAACCCAGGAAGATATTCCAAGGTAAAGAATGCACTTTAGCCCAGGAGCTACATCTCTTCTATGCCTTTTCATGATCAAAAGCAAAACAGATTTTAAATAAGTGTCTCCTGTTGTCTCACTATCATGACCTTCCTGGATTTAGTTAGTTCTTGGTAGAATTTTAATAACTTTGGCATTTGTCCTTGTGGTCATCAATTGTGCTCTTTTTCAGCTGAATTTCTAGGAAATGTGTTAGCTCTGTAAGTCCAGATCTCTTGTAGACCCAGTGGAGTTTACAACAAGGTGGAAGGCACCACAACTTTAGCACTGAACTGCTTACTCTCTTCTCTTTCAAATGACAGACTTTTGTTTACAATTGTAATACTAGAACTGTAAAACAGAACCAAAGTGAAGTTCTAGAACTTGTTACAAGTATTGTCTAGTTGATGAATAATAGTGCTACCTTAGGTGTAATAGCCTCTCCATTTTTTACAGAGCATTCAAAATTACTCTGGGGGAAAAAAAGATTAGTTAGTTTGGTAGGCAGATGAAGCTCTGGGCCTGCCTTTCTCCAAAACTTTCTGACTGTTTCTTCTCCCAGACGGGACAACTGGTCTACTCCAGGTTAGCACCTGTCTCTCCATCAATCTTTTCACAACCTACATCAGGTTATCCAGAAGATTTTAGAGACCAATCAGTGGTTTACCACAGAATAATCCCCACAAGTGGCAGAAAAGTGCTTCTCTTCGGATTCCTTTATTAGTGTTTCACTCTAAAAGGAAGACTGAAAGCCAAGGTCAGTCTCCTTTTGTACCTAGTGTCAGTACCCAAGTGGGCAGCCTTCTGCTTAGGATAATAATTGGCCCGTTGCATGCAGAGAGAATGCCTTTATAGAGAGAATATCAGTAAATACTTGAATCTGCATGGCAGTTTGGTGACTTGAATGCAGCAGCAAGAAATATTGCAAGTTAAGTAATTGTATATACAATAGGGTTCTTTAAGTCTCTTTGAATTTAAGTCTTTTGTAATTTATGTGTGTTTGTAGTATTGCAGGTTTTTGGAGACTCTTCGTACAGATAGTATGTCAGGCACAAAGAAAATACTTTCTGTCAAATGCCATGTTGTATTTGTGAGTATTTATAGTTGTATGTATGTAGATGCATCAGTGTGTAGATTGTGTTTCAGTATATGGTACTTGTACATGAA